TTCGTCCTGCTCGCACTGGTAGTCGTGTCCGTCGTGAGCGTCCTCCTCCTGTCCCTGGCACTCACTACATGACTCTGCGTCCCTCTACTGCTCCTCGGCGTGTCCCTCTACCGTCTCCTCCTGCGTCCTCGTTGCCTGCCGTTCCGGACCCTGAGTCTGACCGGTATCGCGCTGAGCACCCTACAGTCACGCGTCTCCTTGCTACTGTTGTCACTGACCCCACCTTTGAGTCCTCGGCTGCGTCTGCTCTGGTCGCTGAGTTGGTTGACTTTGCTGCTGCCTGTCGTCTAGACTACGCTGCTAGCCTTGTCGCTGAGTCAGAGTCTACGTCTGTCTGTCCTCCGTCCGTCGGGGGTGAGTGTGCTCTTGGCACGGACGTCCTTGAGGACAGGCAGGAGGACTTTGACTCTCTTGCGGCTGCTGTACCTCATCTCGTGGCCTGGTTGCTTGCCCCTGAGGGAGACCCGGATGCACTAGACATCCCCACTCCGCGCACTTACGCAGAGGCGATCTCGGGTCCCTACTCCTCTCAGTGGCAGACAGCCATGGACGCAGAGATGGCATCCTGGAAGTCCACAGGCACCTACGTCGACGAGGTTCCCCCTCCTGGGGCGAACATCGTCGATGGCATGTGGATTTTCAGGGTGAAGCGGCCGCCAGGTTCTCCGCCTGTCTTCAAGGCTCGTTACGTTGCTAGAGGCTTCAGTCAGCGTCAGGGGGTCGACTTCTTCCAGACCTTCTCCCCCACCCCGAAGATGACCACTCTTCGGGTTCTGCTGCACGTTGCTGCTCAGCGTGACTACGAGCTTCACTCTCTTGACTTCAGCACAGCGTTCCTGCAGGGCAGCCTGCACGAGGAGATCTGGCTGCGCCGCCCACCTGGCTTTACTGGGTCGTTTCCCCCTGGTACCCAGTGGAGTCTCCGCCGGCCAGTCTACGGTCTCCGCCAGGCGCCACGTGAGTGGCACGACACACTGAGGACTACTCTTGCGGCTCTTGGGTTCGCGCCGTCTACTGCTGACCCGTCGCTGTTTCTGCGCACTGACACGTCGCTGCCGCCGTTCTACATTCTCGTGTACGTCGACGACTTGGTCTTTGCTACTGCTGACACTGAGGCACTCGCTCGTGTGAAGTCGGAGCTGCAGAAGAGACACACCTGCACTGACCTGGGTGAACTGCGTAGCTACCTTGGCTTGCAGATCACCCGGGACAGAGCCCGTCGCACCATCACCCTGACTCAGTCACACATGGTGCAGCAGGTCCTTCAGCGCTTCGGCTTCCAGTTCTCCTCACCACAGGCCACACCTCTGGCTACCAGCCACTCACTCTCAGCTCCACCTTCGGACGAGTCCGTAGAGCCGAGTGGCCCGTACCCAGAGCTTGTAGGCTGCCTCATGTACCTGATGACTTGCACGCGACCTGACCTCGCGTACCCTCTTAGCATCCTTGCTCGTTACGTTGCGCCTGGGAGACACAGGCGAGAGCACTGGGAGGCTGCTAAGAGGGTGCTGCGGTACCTGTGCAGTACATCAGGCATGGGGCTTGTGCTTGGAGGACGCGACAGAGTTGTCCTCACTGGTCACTCGGACGCCTCTTGGGTGGACGACCTGGCTACGCAGCGGTCGTCACAGGGTTACACCTTCAGCCTTGGCTCAGGTTCTGTCTCGTGGCGGTCCACCCGCTCTTCCTCTGTTCTCGGCTCTAGTTGTGAGGCTGAGATCTACGCCACAGCCATGGCTGCACAGGAGTTACGCTGGCTCACCTACCTGCTGACTGACTTGGGAGAGCGGCCTAGTTCTCCTCCAGTTCTGTACGGTGACAACAAGGCGGCTCTTGCCTTGTGTCAGGAGCACAGACTGGAGCACAGGACGAAGCACATTGCTCTTCGCTACTTTCTTGCTCGAGAGCTTCAGCAGCGCGGTCAGCTTCGACTTGTGTACGTGGACTCGAAGGCCAACACTGCTGATATCTTCACCAAGGCGCTCCCGCCTAGTGATCATCAGCGGCACTGTACTTCTTTAGGCCTTGTGTCCACGTTTCCTCACTTGCTCACTGCTTGACATTCTTTGTACTGTACTTTATATATATCTTGTTGCTTACTTGCTAGGTTTTTGATCACTGTGTTGCTTGTCTTGTACTATATCTAGCACTGCATGTGAACTGGCCTTGTGGCCTTTACTTGTGCTCGGAGTGTGGTGACGTTGTGATCCACCCTGGGCTTTGTTTTGCTTTGCTGGACTGGTCTTGTGACCCTTTGTTCTCCCCCACTTTGCCTATGGGGGTGTGTTAAACTGTATTATGCTTGTAGGCTGTAGTGGGGTAGCCAATATGGGGTACAACCCCAACTAGGGTTTCCTATTTGTACCCTTGCTTCTTTCAATCCAATCATTCTTGCCTAGTAATTCTGACAGGGCTTTGGCTAGGCGGTCAGGGAGGCGAGTGACTAGCCAGTGAATAGTGAGCCACATAGGGGGCGGGGCAAGGGCAAGCTGGTCCTCAGTGCAAGCAGCGCGAAAGCGAGCGTCAAGGGAGCGAAGGTGGGTAGCGAGGTCAGAGACAGTCTCAAAGGAGGCGAGGTCAGGGTAGATAAAGGGGACGAGGAGGCGACTGAGGGAAGCAGAAAGAGGAGGGAGTGGAGTAGCGATCAACAATAGCCTTATACAGATCTGCAGCAGACTCGACCTGAGTGAAGTGGACTGCCTCTGTCGGCGGGAGAAGGTCGGTCAGGGCGAGGCAGGCAGCGGCGTCACGAGACTCCCACACGTCGCGAGCGAGGAACTGGCGCCGGTACTCGGCCTCCTGCTCAGGAGTAGGCGGTGGGGTAGTGGGCAGCAGGCTAGGCTGCGGAGGAGCGGTCTGAGTACCGGACGCGTGTGCGAACAGGTGCACGCCATCCTGCCGCTGGCTCTTAAGGTGGCGCTGCGCCTGCGTAAGCCACGTACTAAAGTCTATGGGTCTCCCCTCAGGGTCAAAACGAAGTACTCGGGAGGTCGCCATAAGGGGCGAAAGTGGGAGAGCGCGGCTGCCAGCCGCGGGAGGGTGAGACAGTCAGTGGCGTGTGGGCAGGCGCGCAGGCGTGCAGGCGGGCAGGTGGCGAGGCACGGCGCGCTGGCCGGCGAGCGGCGCGGCGGGTCTACGGGCGGGCGGCGCTGCGCGCTGGCGGGCGAGCTGGCGTTTGCGCTGGCGGGCGCGCTGGCGTGCGCGTTTGCATGGCGCGCTGGCGGGGCGCGCTGGCGTGCGCGCTGACGGGGCGCGCTGGCGTGCGCAGTGGCGGGGCGCGCTGGCGTGCGCGCTGGCGTGGCGCGCTGGCGTGCGCGCTGGCGGGGCGCGCTGGCGTGCGCGCTGGCGGGGCGCGCTGGCGTGCGCGCTGGCGGGGCGCGCTGGCGTGCGGGCTGGCGGGGCGCGCTGGCGTGGGGCGCTGGTGGGGCGCGCTGGCTAGGGCGCTGGCGGGCCTGCTGGCTAGGGCGCTGGCGGGCCTGCTGGCTAGGGCGCTGGCGGGCCTGCTGGCTAGGGCGCTGGCGGGCCTGTTTGCTAGGGCGCTGGCGGGCCTACCGGGGGGGGGGGGGGGGGGGGGGGGGGGGGGGGGGGTGCGCACCAAGGCTAGAGACGAAGTTTTAGGAAGGGAGGCGACAAGGTGTGGCCAAGGATCGGCGAACCTACTGCTGATACCATCTCACAAAGTGAAAACAGCGGAATGAGTTAGATTGATTGTGTTGGGGTACAAATGCCTAACCCTAACTGTTTGTACCCCATATAGCATGTCCCACTAGAGGCTATAACATTTGACACCAACACCTTAGCGAACACACTTACGACGTAGCGCGAAAGCTGTTACCTTTTCGCCACCCGGACGGTCCACGGTTCGAACCGTCGGGTGCAAAACGGTTACGCGGCCTAATGCTTAACCTAAACCCTAGGCTTCTAGTCCTAGCCAACACCTTAGGGCGTGTTCCTACGCTCTTATCAGGCAAACCTCTTGTCAGCCTTGCCTGGTACCGTCATACCCCGGATATAAGCGCCACCCTCGGATAAGCGCCTGACGCTTTTAATTGGCGCATGTTGCCTATATCCGCTGCTCGATTATAAGCGCACCCACTGATAAAACTTGTTTTATTATAAGCGCACGTAAACTTTAAATTTTGAAATGTGTTCAAAACGCTGTAACGATTTTTACTTTAGCAGGCGGATGTGTTGCAGATTCGGTTCCCTTCACATTCGGACCCTGCACTGGATGCGGGTCCAGTCAGCAGGAGCTGTCAGGAGCTGTCAAGAGCTGTCAGATTGGGTGTATCTCCCAGCGCGTGCGAGAATTTCGAGACGACCTCATGTAACTTTGACTCGATTGAAAAGACAAGCTCGAGATCTACAAAATGGTGTTTAAATATGTATAAAATATATATGTCGTTTTATAAACGCCGGCGCTTATAAATTTACTCGATTATAAGCCCACCCCCCTAAAAAAAAACATGTTTTATTAGTGCCCCCCATGGGGGTATATCCGGGGTATGACGGTAAAAGTAGCGAGGGTTTCTGGGTTTAGGAAAAATTCAGTGTGTTTTGACGTGAGCTTGATAAGAGGTTGGCCTGATAAGGGGCCGTAGGAACACGCCCTTAGCGAACACACTTACAACGTAGCGCGAAAGCTGTTACCTTTTCGCCACCCGGACGGTCCACGGTTCGAACCGTCGGGTGCAAAATGGTTACGCGGCCTAATGCCTAACCTAAACCCTAGGCTTCTAGTCCATGCCGAAAGTTCGGGTTGTTTCAAAATGGTTGTTGTACTCTAAAATCAAGAACGCGATATTAGGAACGAGCTACACTGGTGAGCGCTTTGTGTATCCAACAAAGAAAACAGGCTCAGTATGCCTCCTCAACGAGACAAAAATCACAACTTAAAACATTGGGATTCCACACGGCATGTTGATAATTTCAAGATGTATGTCTTTCATGTGTGCTAAGCCATTGTGGTGTAGACTTCTACCTCCCATTCTGTCTTTGCTTTACGCAAAGAGCACAGCGGCAAGCAGGGAGATGACCCCAGTCACTACGCGGGCAGGTGCTGCAAAGAAGCCTGTGAAAAGAAGGTATAAAAAAGGTGGTCAGTTCTCGGCACCGACTCCTTGCCCCTTCCACCCATTCCAAAAGAGCATCAAGTGAAAGGAAGGGTTCTGAGCATCACCTTCAAACTTACCAAAAAAAAAAAAAAAAAAAACAAGTGGCTTCTCACCAGCAGGCTTGGGTGGAGGAGGAGCTGGAGTTGGCGTGATGGTACCGTTAGGGTTCACAGTAAAACCTGGGACCTGGAAATTTCCATCAGAGGTGTTAAACCCAGGGATCGACGGCAACCCGCCAACAACAGGTTTCCCATCAGAGCCGATGATCGTGCCATTGGGATAGAAGCTCATGCCGCCGACCGTTACAGATCCGTCGGGGTTTTTGGATGGAACGGGTGGGTTGACTACTTGGCCGTCGCTGGTAACATACGTGCCGTTTGGATAGAACTTGGTGGTGCCAATGGTCACACTCCCGTCAGGGTTGGTAGTGACGTTGCCAACGCCGCCAGGGCCGCCAATGCCCGTGCCATTCGGGCCAAAAGTACCACCTGGAGTTTCTATCGTGCCGTTGGTGATGTTAACAATGCCAGGAATCGAAATCTGTGCGCTCGCTGGCTGAATAGCTGGTGTGAAAGCCACCGCGAGGAGTACCAGCGCCGCAAGGAGGAGCACACGGGGAGCCATGAGAGCTGTTAGTTTTGGAAGTAATTTTGGGTCAGAGATACTGAACTAACTGGTGGTAATGTAGTCCCCGGCGGAGCAGCTTGGGGGCGTTCTTGCTCTTAGGAAATTGGACGTCAGCTTGAATGTTCTGGAGCGTGCGTCGAAGCTCCAGCGCCGAAGCTCCGGCTTCGGAGCTCCGGTGACGAAGCTCCTGGCCAGCCTCTCGAAGCTCTGTTACGAGGCCACCGCTAGCGCCTCGGGTACATGGAAACATTTCGTGTGTTGACCGATTGTTTATCTACACTCCAGTGCATATGCTTCTTGCTACCGAGTCTATTCAGGACGTGCTCTCACGTCCGTCGAGATTTGCTGACACTACAAGAACTGCGAAAATCTTCGCAAAATTCCTAACCTCGGTACCCATGTGTACACAATGTGTGCAATTTTTTCTTGGCGGCAAAGGGTGACACTGCCAAAACGGGCCATGCAAAGGGTGGCACTCCCATACCATGTGTCGAAAAGTGACAGTTTCCAGAATGGACCCTGTATATTGGGGACTGGAAAGCATCTAGGGAAATTTTTTTGGCAGCCATGTCTAGTTCAGATTTCGGCACCGAACCGCAATACCCAAAGCCAATCACCAGACCAATCAAGGGTAACGGACCTGGTGGCTGGGCATGATGCGACCGACGTCCATCGGCGGGAAGAACGAAAACCAAGATAAGGGCGCGTGTGATTTTTGAAAATCGTAAAATTAAGTTTTTTGGGCGATATAGCAGCTAATACAATGCGAACTCAACTCGAATTTCGAGGTTTGCAATGTTCGAACCGCAGCACCCCAACTCGGCTATGTCACATTCGAACTCGGGGGTTCGACCTTATAGGCAGGTCGTCGATCCGCGCTCAGTGTCTGTAGGTTACCCGATTCCGCTTGCTTTACAGCGCGATACGTCACAAGGAAGCGACTCGCCACTTTTACAATCTAGACCTCCAACTCACCAACGCGCTTCCACCATTCTGGTGGTACAAAAACGGCCAATATCATACATTCTCAAAGTATTCCTGAGGGGATTCTCAGGTTTAATCACCAACAGAAACACAGTTTCGCGATATAGTAGTAGGTGTTTCTGGAAAGTTTCCGTATACAGTCACTACAAAAAAAATACAGCACTTGAAAAAAAACTTGTAGCGAGCCTAGATGAATTTCGGGACACATCAACCCTAAATAAGGGAAGCCGCCCAATATATTGGAAAAAAAATTGCAACCCATTTCAGTGTTGGCGGAGTTGCGCGGGTGTTCTCGCTCCTGTCACTAGCGACGGGGGTGATGGAGAGTTGGTTGGGAACTTGGGTCTGGGGGCCAGGCAGTTTGTGAACCAAAACGAAGGTGGTTCTCGTTCCACGACACTTTTATTCGAAGCAACAAAGCAGATTGTGACACGACTCTACGAGGAGTGTGCAGTGCAGTCGTCATAGGTAATCAGCAAGTTGCTCGCCGCCTTGAGATGGTAAGATAGAAAAAGCGTGGCGTGCAATTGCTTGAATGCGTTCGAAACTAAATAATTGAGTGCGAATGCCGTCGCTTTTGACGAGAGATGAGCGCAGCTGAGGACGAGCGGGCGGTATAGGAGCGAGAATAAGTGGTGCTGGGGCCTTAGGACGAGCGGGATTACCTTCGTCGAGGTTCTCGAGATTAGTGTGATCGCCGTCGTCGACGCCCTCGAGATCAAGAGGGGGAGGAGGAGCCCGGGAACGAGGTGCCGCTGGAGCTGCCGGGCGCACAGGATCTGCCGCTGCTGCAGGATCTCCGTTGTTGCCGCGTTGAAGCGCTGCGAGGAGGCCGATCGCGTGGCGAATTGCATCATTATTATCCGCAGCCGCTCCAATGTTTATGTCGGTATATCGCGCCGAGTTATTCTCAGCTGCACGGCGTCCCGTAGAAGCGCTGGATCTCGCTATACCGCGGTCGCCGGCTGTCTCGGTGAAGATTCGCCGCAGGTTGTGCTGACTCGCGGGGTCAAGGCGAGCAATGATTTCGGCAATTTCCGAAATCCCCGCTGCCGGATTTCGCGGATCCTGCTGCTCGCCCTGATTCGCGCGTCGATTTGCCGAATCGGGCTGGCGATCCGCTCGTGCAGGGTCCAGATTCTGTCGCGGCCCACGTGCAGGATCTCGCTCGCGATTAGCCCGAACAGAATCGCGCTCACGATCTGCACGAGCAGAATCGCGAGGATTGCGATCTGCACGTGCAGATTCGCGATTCTCACGATCTGCTTGTGCAGGACCGCCATCATTGCGGTCCTGCGCCTGCACTGTTGGAGCCTGTCGAGCTGGGGCGTTTTCGCCGGGCTGGGACGGGTCGACGGTTGCACGCGAAATTCGCCCTTCGCCGTGAAATCCGGGGGCCCGCGCTCGTTACCGCCATTGCGACCAGGTCCGTCGGCGACCATTTCGGGAGCGGAAACAGGGGGTTGCCTCGCATTCAACAGCTCCAAAGCGGATAAAGTCGTGGTTCCGTTGTTCCGACGCGGAGATCGCGAACGGTCACGCTGGGAGGAGGATCAGCGATCCTCGTCCCTTTGCGGGGACCCACGCCTGCCGCTGCTGCGCGTAACCATTCTTGGAGCGGGAGGGCGACCAGTTACTGCGGAAACAAATCCAGTAGCCATAGCAGAAAGTCTTACTTTGACCACGTCGTTGATGAGAGTGCTCCTATGCCTATTTCTAGGCATAGGAGGGGTTTCGGGAGTGTGCTGGTGGTAAGCAAATGAAGATCTGAAAAATGCAAATGAGACTAGGTGGCAGGTCTGAGAGACCTGCGGGAATGTAAAGGAGGTTGTCTCCTTTACTGCAAACTCCTCTACTAGTCGAATCACAATCCTCAAATTTTTAAGTGAAACTTAAAATTTTACATCTAGCAACCACAGCCCACAGCGCACCGCCACCAACATATCATGTTTTTTGGGTTGCGTAGCAACCTTATACATTTGGTAGCACTTTTCAGTCGACTCAAATGAACAGTACTGTTTTTGTCATTTTCCCAAGGTCCGAACCACTCGTTTCAACGTTTTGGTAGCGAGTGTTTCAAATCTGTGGAGATGACAGCACTGAACACGTAAGTCCCCAAAAAGATGAAACCAAATGTGACCTATCATTCCATAATCGTCGATAAATACGGCGAATGGAACAATACAGGCCCTCAGATTCGTTTGGGGGTACACTGAGGCCTCAGGGCAGCTTTTAGAAAATCAGAATTTGCCCTGAATTGTCAGGGCTGCACAGGGTGAGGTATCCTGAAATGTCAGTGCGACATTTGACAGTATCCTGCCAGCTCAGTGCTGCATTTCGTACAATCCTGTATATTTCGTGCGTGTTATGTTAGCGGGGATCGAAATGCTCTCCACATTCGAAGTGTGTACTGATGGGGTGCAGCTGCAAGTGGCCGGCAGTGCAAGTCGCTGGCAGCTGCATGGTGTGAAAATGTTACAGCGCAGTACAAGCAGGTGGCGAAGGTGGCGGTGGACATCGTGGACCAGACCAAATTGGCTGGCAGAAGCGAAGTTGCATAATTGACCATTCAGTGCTGTTCTCCTAATTACCGTACGTGAAGTGTGGTAGCGGGTAAGGCGACAATGTTTCACAAGAGGTCATCTGCTCGATTCCAGGCCAACGCCTCGCGTAGTACATTTTGGGCCCCGAAACCCAGGAGATTATTCGTACAGTACATCTCGCTTCAGGGCGAGATTCGACACTATCCTGAGTCGTCAGGGCCGAACCTACAGGGTTATCCTGAGGTTTCAGTACGCATAATAACCATTATACTGATTTGACAGGACAAGTTTTTCACTTATGCTGTTTTTTCAGGAGAAGCACACGACACCTATCCTGAATTCAGGAGAATCAGGATAAATTATCCTGATAACATAGGCCCTGGAACAATAGGTCGTCACCAAACACAAGTGACGAGAAAAAAAACCCACTGGTCATGAATGCAAATCATGTGCATACGAGCAAAAACAACACATAACAACTGTAAGTGAATGCTAAAATGCATCGGTGCTACAACAGAGATGGTTCCGGTATGCTAAGGCATGCAAAGCTGCCCCAACAACGATCCCCACCTCAAATGCAGACCCGAAACACTTGAACATCACACCTCAGTTGCGTAACACGTGCAAGCACAACACATAACAACTGCGAGTGAATGCTAAAATGCATCGGTGCTACAACAGTGGTGGTTCTGGTATGCTAAGGCGAGCAACGCTGCCCCAACAACGATCCCCACCTCAAATGCAGACCCGACACGGAAACGCCGTCTTTGGCATCAGTCATAAGGAACAGTTGGAGATCGTCAAGCCACACTGTGAACTCGATCGGGCTACCGTCAGACTCAAACGCGAAAATATGAGGCGTCGTCATAATTGCTGTGCAGAGAAATGCAGCAGGCAAAGACCATAGGCGAAATCAGTAGGCAAAGGCAGCGCAGGCGGCGCGCGGGGGAGCAGCAAGCAGCTTGCAGGCAGCAGCGGCGCGGCGCAAGAAGGTAGGGCGGCGCCCAGGGTGGCGGTGGGCTGCGTGCGGGCGGCTAAAGCACGGCGCGGGCGGCGCGGGTGGTGCGCGGGGCAGCAGCGGGCCGCGCGCAGGCTGCGCGGGGTCGGCGCGGGCTGTGCGGGGCAGCAGCAGGCCGTGCACGGGCTGCGCAGGGTCGGCGCGGGCTGTGCGGGGCAGCAGCGGGCCGCGAGCGGGCTGCGCGGGTCGGCGCGGGCTGTGCGGGGCAGCACCGGGCCGCGCACGGGTTGCGCGGGGCAGTAGCGGGCCGCGTGCGGGCTGTGTGGGCTCGGCGGGGGCTGCGCTGGCGGCGCGCGGGGCTGCTGCGGGCGGCGCGCGAGCGGCGCTGGCTCAGCGTGGGCTGCGCGGGCCGTGCGCGGGGCAGCAGCAAGGCGCGCGCGGGCTGCAAAGCGACGCGCGCGGGACAGCAGCAGACAGCAGGCAGCAGCGCGTGAAGTAGGTCTGCGCGCGAAGCAGCAGCAGACAGCGCAGACAGCAGACAGCAGGCAGACGGCGCGCGCAGCGCAGCACGTCACAGTCACAGTCACAGTCGTGGGGTAGCGGTAGGTGGGCCCGAAAAAAAAGACGGTCCTACGGACCTACTGCTCTGAAACCATGTTGAGAATGCTAGGCAGGAATGAGAATGACTAGATCAGGGTTTGGTACAAATATGAAACCCTAATGGGGTTGTACCCCATACCAGCAAGCTACCCCACTACAGCCTACACAAATATAACATGCATATAAGTTTGACACTGTATGCTCGTCTTTGGTTTTTTTTCGAGTATACCAGGATATCATCGAGGTACACCAAGACGAACTGGCCAATCGCATCACGAAACACATCGTTCATCGCCCTCTGGAAAGAGGCCGGAGCGTTGGTCAAGCCAAAACTTAACACACGCCACTGAAAATGGCCGAACGGCGAACGGAAAGCCGTCTTTGGAACATCGTCCTCTGTTATACGCAATTGGTGATAGCCTTGCGCCAAATCCAATGCACTGAACCATTGCGCACCCTGTAGTCGATCAAATAAATCTTCTATCCGCGGAAGTGGATGTCTGCTTTTGATCGTAATTTTATTCAGGGCTCGATAATCGACGCACATGCGCAGTCCACCTCTCCCTTCTTGTGAACAAACAAGATAGGTGCTCCATATGGGGACGCGCTGGATTTTATCCATCCCTTCCTGAGGTATTCCTCAATCTGTTGTTTAGCCTCCTCGTACTCAGCTGGAATGAGGTGATACGGAGGTCTAAATGGTGGTGCCTTTCCTGGTTCCACCGGGATGGTGTGGCCAACTGCACGGTCAGGAGGTAACCCGTCCGGAATTGGCTCAAAAACCTCAGAATATTCCTCTGCCAACGCCTTCATTTGAAGTGGGAATTCCTCAATAATATGTGAAGTTGTTGGTTCGGAGTCTAGTTGTACCACAAAAAGTGTATCAGGTTTCTTGACATGCTCTTTGAATTGTAGAGCTGACGCAAAGTGCACATCAAGAGCTAATGTTCGAGGTTTGTCGTCCAGTGCTTGGTGCCTTGGGACTTGCCATTGAAAAGTCGTTCCAATCTTTGTGAATGAAAGCGTGTTATCTTGGAAATTTAATATCACCTCATTAGGCCGCAGCCAATCCATTCCCAAGACAATGTCTACCCCTGCTAGGAGGGGTAAGAAAAAAACGGTGATGATCTCCTGGTATCCTTGGATATCTAGGTTGATCAAGGCATGTCCTCTGCATAGGATGACCCTATCATCCTCCAGACGGATAGAACAAGATGGCCCTTGAGCAGGAACATTCAAATACCCCATCCATTTCTCATCGATCAATGACGCGGTTGCACCGGTATCAATCAGGATCGAGGCACTGCGCCCATTTACGCGAACCGAAAATAAAAGGTTTTGGTGATGTTTACGCCGAATAGGACATGCTCTAATATTAGTGGGATGCAAATAATACGTCTTATTGCCGTACTTGCTACGTCCAAAAGAACGAGCTTGTGTCCACCACACGTGGTGTCCTTAATCTCACTGCGCTAACACACTCCATCCTTGAAGTACTCATAATAATTTACCTCGAATTGTGCGCGTTACCATTCCAATTGCAGTTAGAGGGTACGCTTGGGTGCAGCGACCTGCCGCATCCATTATCCAAGGCAAATTTTGGCTTTAACATCACACGTCAATTGCATACACGAGACAAACAGACAAACGCACGTATCGCACACACGGGCTCACACGTGCACGTGCAAAACCACACGCATAATCACACGCAATCTAACACACACGCAAACAACCACAGATACCGGTAGATACAGAGACCGTATCAAACACGCAACCGTCATGAATACGGTAAATTTCAGAAATGCATAAATAGTTGCTAGCCTATCCCACCTACGCTCTCTACAACCCTCCCTCCCTCCTTCCCTCATCGCCCTTTTCAGCTCACGTGCCCTGCACAAAGCAAAAACAGAGAAGTCAACACACACAAGGCCTGCACAAAGCAAAAAAAGAGAAATCAACACACACTCCCTGCACAAAGCAAAATCAGAGGAGTCAACACGCAAACGCCCTGCACAAAGCAAAAACAGAGAAATCAAAACACACACGCCCTGCACAAAGCAAATACAAAGAAGTCAACACACACAAGCCTGTTAAGAGAACTAGGCAAGAATGAGTGCATTGAATGGGAGAATTGGGTACAAGTAGCAAACCCTAGTTGGGGTTGTACCCCATATGAGCTACCCCA